GATCGCATTAGGTTCTCCCTTTGTTTGAGGGGTTCTATAAAACGCAATTCAAGGGACTATAAATGACTCAATTTAGAGAATTTCGTTGTTCTTATTCATTCAAATTGATTTACAAAAATCGCACGCTCTGTCCGTGTCGTAATTTCTGATACTCTGCACGTGATAAAAGTGGACTCTCTCTCCACAACGACATTCAAGGGACCAAAAAAAATTAAATTTGACCTAACCTGGCCTAACCTAACTTTACCTAACCGCCTCCCAAAATCAGTTTCAGCAGAAAAGCAGAAACTGATTTTGGGAGGAGGTTAGGTGAAGTTAGGTCAGGTTATGTTAGTTACAAATATCTTTCAATTCAAATAACCTATCCTAACGAATACTGAATTCACGAGACAAAGAAAAATGGGTACTGAGATAACAGGAAAGTACCAAAAATTCTTTGTAGAGAGAATTTTCTTTCCTTTGAGGTAGAGAGTGTAGCATGTGCAGTGTCTAAGAAATGAAAGCCGAGGCTGAGTGTGCAATTTTTGTAAATCAATTTGAATCATGCTGACTGCACGGTAGCATTTGAGGTGAGGAAGGTCTCGGTCCTGGTCTCAGGTAATGACTAGAATAATGAGGAAAGAGAGACCTGGAAAGAGTTTTTTCTTTGCTTTTTTCCTTCCATGCGGACGATTGGGGTTGTCCTTGGGAAACCATTCGGGAACCAGTCCGGCGGTCGTGGATGGCTGCGGGAAATGCGATCTGTTGGTTTCGCCGACAAAACCTTGGTTTACGAATGTACCGGCTCTTGTCGTGTAATGGTTTTAGTGCGACAGGCCTGACTTGTGGATTGGTTCCCCCCTCCCCTTCCGAGATTGCGCGAAAAATTTTAATCGGATCCGCAAATGTTGATCGTGCAGTAGTAATTCGGTGGCTCATTTTTTTCCTCCCGAGTGCCTCAATTTAATTCTTCTTTTTAAAGGAAGCGTCACTCCCTTTAGAGAAAGAAAGAAATAAGTATGCGGTGAATGCGAGGAAATTCTTTTTCTGCATTGAAAACTCGCGGAGAAGCTTTCTTGACTGTTTACCGAAGCACTTTCGCGCTAATCTCACGTTTGCGCTAAAAGTTTGATCGAGAACGGTTGGCTGAGAGCCAGAGCCAATTTACGGGCATGAAAGGAATGCAGCCCCGATACTTTTTTGTTTGTCTGCTCGGGTTATGTTAATACCCGGAATGGAACGGGTTTTTTTTCTCTTTTTTTTTGCAAAACGCGGGAAACGTCAACACCATGCTCAAAATGTTGGACGTTCCTTTGTTGAGTTGTGCTGGCCGAAACGAAAAAAAGAAAGAGAACAAGTGGGGAAAAAGCCCTGTGTGAATTATGTCGACCGGGTTTCGGGAAGCGTTGGGTTATTATTCGTTCTTTACGGAGCAGGCGCGTGTGTTGGGAGATGCTGGGCTCTGTGGGAAATGAGTTGTGAGCGTCGTAAACGTTGGTCGATCGCAAACGCCGGAATTCCTGGCTGTTTGATCAAAAATCTCGCCGAAGACGAAGCGCAGTTTGCAGGTTCTCTCCTTTAAGAAAACGAGGGGGATTAAAAAAAGGAAAAGAGAGAGAGGGGAATTTGCGGAATCTGCGGGGAATCAAAAAATAGATCCCGGTGTTTTCGCCCAAGCTTTCCCAGCGAAACCAACCTTTTCCTGATTTTCCCTTTTAGTTTGGCTTTGGTTTTGACACAAACCCGAGGAGACGTGCGAAGAGCGGTTGGAATTTCGGCGATCAATATTTGTTCCCGTGTGGGGAGTGAGGGAGTGAATGAAGTTAGTGAGTGGGAGCAAAGGTATCGTGTCGTGTGCGTCGATTAGAGAGGGAGAGAGAGAGAAGGAAAAAACGGGGTGACGACAGCGTGGAATCCCCGACGGCATCCAGAAATTTCAGCAGATCGAAGAATCCACGTGAGCTGTTCGGCGACACGTTTTCCCGAATCGTCCCTCGGAGTCTCTCCCCCACACCCCTTCCTTTTTGGAGCATGTTTGTGCCACGGGGAAAAGAGCGTGCAAATATGTAGTTGTCGCACTTCTCACGAGAATGTGGGACTGTATCGATTTTTATGCGCACCAGTTTTTTTTTTTTTTTTTTTTTTTTTTTTTTTTTTTTTTTTTTTTTTTTTTTNTGTTTTTTTTTTTTTTTTTTTTTTTTTTTTTTTTTGGTGCCTTGAAAAATTGAAGCGAGCGATTCTGTCCGCGAATGCGAAACACATTCATGACATGCCGTTTCGTTACAATTCGAGGAGTCCCTGCATTATCCTCATGATTCAGGTACTCCTCTAGCTCAAAAAACGTGAGGCAGACATTTTTTTTGCATAATTCTTGTGCCGTTGAATTGAAGAGTATAGGAATAATTTTGAAACAAATTGTTGTCTCTAATATAATCCGAAATATTTTCATGCATTGGAGCCATAATTTTCTTTAAATGTGGATCTTGAGACGCTATGAAGAATATTTCACTGAATCGCATGTTTCATCAGCCGATTTTTCGGGGCAAAGGTTATCTCATTCTGTCCAGGTTTAAAAACATAAATTAGAGTAAGTGATGTATGGCGAATGTAAGATGCCATCAATTCTGGAACGTGCCTCTCATTTTTCACCCCTTGAATCGGAGTTTATCGGGTTATTGAAAAAATGACTAATCCAGAGGTTCGAGGCCCGGAAGAGCCAGCAATAATCAGAGTTGGTATTTTGAATTTTCAGATTTCTGTCATTCAGTTTACGTTTCAGATTTAATTTCAGACTTCCAGCTCAAAAATATCTGGTGAGTCGTTTAGAGATCAAGCATTTTCATTTTTCAATCAATCCGTATTTGAGCATTTTCTATGTGCAATACCCTTCAGTACTTCAGATTTAAGACATAGCCAATTTTCGTGACATTCGCTTTAATGTGGTACTGTACAATGGTGCATTTCTTCCGAAATTTTTCAACTGAGGGAGCTTTTTCTGATTGCTTTAGGCATTTTTTCCTGGTTTTGAATACAGTACTGTATTTATTTTCTTTAGAACCGATGAATTGAAATAATTTTAAAGGAAAATTCTTACGTATGGAGCGAATTTCTCAGTTCGTAAATTACAGAGGAGATTCGGGTTGCTCACGAGACTTTTTGTGGGTTCGAAATCAATTGGTTATCCTGTACGTAACTTGTTCGTCTTTTCGAATGATGAACTAGTCACTGGCAAGCATCATTGATTAAATGAGGCAGCACGTTAACTTTTTTCCTGCTCTCACTTGTCTGAAATAATTTGCGAGAAAAGGTGAGTGGAATGCAGTAGTTTCAGGCGGCAACTTCTTGAACGGAGACGATCGCTGCGCCCGCGTTTAAATTTCCGAAAATCTTTTGCCGCTCCAAGTACCCGGTCGTTGACGAGTTGACGGAATAGTGGGCAATCCTTGAAAGGCCTACAGGTACTTGACAGGTCCACGCAAACGGGTTTCGAGGCATTAACAATGAGTCGTGAAAAAAGTGGGTTAGTGTATCTCTTTGTCAGTAGGACCCGAGTTGCCAAACGGGTTCATTAGGAGCGGGGCCGCCGGGGTTTCGCCCAGGGATAATTCCCGGATTCCCGTCGATTTTGTCAGTGAGTCGCGTCGTTCCCTGGCGGCGTTGTTGGGTACTTGCTGTGGTTGGTTGTTGTCAGGGGCTGTGCCTAGTATTTTTTTCCAAGTGGGCTCTTCGGGTTTCCGTGTTCCTGTTGGCGGCAGTTCGCGGAAGAAGAACTTATTCGATGAAGTCGTTTTCAACGGCCTGATGAGTCCTCGTTGATCAGATGGAAGTTCCAGTACTTGAAATTGTTCTTCTTTGTACATACTTCTCTTCTTCTCCACAGACCCAGGAAGCTTCTGGTAGTTCGCTTCTCGAAATTTGATTTATGGTCTAATTTCCTACGTACGAACTGATCTCATTATTGAATCGATTTCGCTCGCGCCCGTTTTCGAATGAAGTCTCGGCGAGAGCATTTTATGACTTACCCGGATTCAGGATTGGCGTAAATTGAACAGGTTAGAAAAATAAAATGTTGTAATGTACTGTATGATTATTTCACCAAGTCCTTTGTACGGTATATGAGGTGATTTATCTCGGGAGGTGAATACTCTTACTATTTATTTAAAATTATGCTGGGCTGTCGTAACAACACATTTTACCGAAGTACATGCGGAGTGGGATTTGAAGCCTGATCGATCCACGCTTGGCATGTTTTTCACACCTTCGCTGAATAAATTGCGCCTCTATGTTCTTGTGTGGTGATCGAAGTTCAAGGCAAAGTAAGGAATGCTTTGAACAACGCGAATTTCTCATCTGTTCAGTTCCAAAGGAACCTTTTTACGAGTCGTTTCAATGACAAAATTATTGACGCGCCATTTGAAAAGTAAACAGCTTCAGGATGGGCTGGGAAGGAAACGAAGTTTTTGACTTGGAGAAAACATCTTGTTCTGATGGGAGCCAGTTTCACGTAGTGACCAAGAGAAACGCGGGAATTTCTGATATTTCTCAGTGCTCATTTTCTCGGTTCGTTTGAGTGGAAATTTGACTGCAAGTCGGTTTTTAATGACGAAGCCCGTGGTTAAAAGGAACATGAGTCGTAACAATGCTCCATTTAAAAAATGCGATGCATGATGGGAGGAAATGAAACGTCGGGTGTCGAAGATTTTGAATGTAAATATGTAATGATCGGAGCCAGTTTTCAAATTTCCCAGCGATCCTTTCCCCGTTTATTCGTCCATAAATCTTACTGGAAGTGGTTTTCAACGACGGAATTCGAGTGGAAATGCGAGTCGTGACGATTCGCCATCTGTGAAAAGTGGATGGATTTAAAAGAGAAAAAAAAGGAAAAAGGATGTGTGTGTACAGTACATTACAGTACGCCAGATTCGAAAGATCGGTTGTGCTGAAGTATTCGCTGCCAAGGACGAGCCCCGGTTCGATTGACGCCTTGATAATATCTTGCCCCAGACCGTGTTATTTCGGAAATGATTCGGAATGCGGTTCACCCGCGCGCGATTTTGTTTTTTTGTGTGTGTACGTGCTCGTCGCCTCCCCGAGGCGAGGATGTTCATCACGATAATGATCCATCAGTCCTGGTTATTATTACCTTATAATTTTTTTTGCAGGACGACGTTGAATACTTGCAGCAGCAGCGACAGCGGACGACGCAGCGTGAAGCCGAGTGCGAAGCGGCGGGCGAGCGACAGATTGGCATGGAGCAGAACAGCGCGTGCGCCACGAAGCTGAAGGCTATTCGGGATGCCGAATCGAGCAGCCCTGAGCGACTGTGGAAGAACACAAACAGCAGCAACAACAACAACCACGTCATTGTGGCGGATGACAACAAGGACGACGACGACGACGCTGACGGCGGCGGATGTGGTGGTGCTGTCCAGGAAGACGAGCTGCTGCGGAACGGAGAGGTTGGTGGGCCGCCGCCGCTGTTGCGATTGGACACCTTGGCGGCGACGGCAGCTGCAGCAACAGCAGCAGCTGCTGCTGCTGTTGCTGCTGCGGCCGCCAACGCCGCCGTGTCGGCACTAGTGGGAGAAGACGAACAACCGTTGGACCTGAGTGTCAAGTCTGCGTCGCCCGTGTCGTCGAATTCGTCGTTTGATGCCGAGTTTGCGCGTGCGGAGAAGCCGTGTGTCGTGCGGGCGTTGTTGGTTCCTCCAATGAATGGCTCTCGTCAGGCACTGACGACCCCGAGGTTAGTTTGTTATTTATTTAGTTCGTATGTACGGGAATATAAGCGCCATTTCGAAACTCCCCCCCCTTCCCTATTTTAGAAGCTAAAAAGCTAGGGAGGTGCTTGTATTCGCATATTTTTGATATTCGCGTGAGTATGCGTCTATGTCAGCACATATTCCTGTTCCCGGCCCACGAAATGATCCAGTACTTCTTTGGTTCAGTTCTTCCGAAATTGAAGTTGAAAATAATCAAAGAATTGTTAGTTTCTAATGCGTGGAAGACGCATGAGTCAATAAGTAAACGTGAAAACCAAGGGTTGTGTGGCAGCGTTTTTCCTTTTCTGTGGAAAACTTGATTCAATCAGAAATTGCAGGTCTTTGGAAAGTCAGAACACCAGCAAAGTAAGTGAGTGCGTAAATTCGCTTACACATGAAATTAAAGCTTCTTGCATGAAAAATCTTGGGGGTGCTTATATTTGCGTAAATAGAGCAGTAGTCCTCTTAGATATACGACTAATACGAGTGGATTTCAACTTTCAATTTTTTGGGATGTCTCTCTCCGGATAAATAACCATCAAGGATGGATGCAGCATTGAAAGAACAATGTGGTTGACACAAGACGCACATAAATGTAAGGAATGGCATTGAGAGATATCATTGACGATTTTCAAACCGTCGGGAAACTTTTTTTTGTTGCAGTATACAATTGTATTTGAGATGTCCTTTTTTTTTAACTATTTTGTATTCTCTATTCGAGAATCGTTAGTCGAAGGGAAATGATTGAAAAAAGTAGGTACTTGTTCGATGTTCAGCAAATAGGAAAACATTTGCCGATGATTTCACATGGAAAAGAGGAAAAAAAGAACTCCCAAGATGCCGTGTGGACTTTCGTTATTCATGTACAATTTTAAAATGCACAACTTCCAAAAGTTCTTATGAAGATTGCTTTGAGAAGTTACGAGTGAGGATACTGAGGAACTTCTGGAAAGTAGTAAGCGTTATCGATAGTCATAAATCGTGGATTTTGAAAAATTCCAGGACTGGTTCATGCTGTCTTACATCACTGCCACCGTATCTGTATTTTGCATCAAAACGACCGCCCACCCGACCCGGTAGATGGTTGAATTTTTTTGCGAATGAGCGGATCCAATTGCTTCCTTACTTATCGCAAAACTTTTCGTGCTTGTTGAAGTCAGAACACTTCTGAAATACTAGCGATTCCGAATGGAAAAATAATTTATTTCTCTTCTGAAACTTCCCCGACAGCGATTTGTATTATAGGCTCTGACTGATCTCATGGAATGTAGACTGAAGTGGAAAAATAGAATGAAACGAAAAGAAGATGATATATTCAGGGAAGGAAGCCCACTTGAAAATAAAATTTCGTGATTTTTCATCCGAAAACGACGAGACCTGTTCCGTCGCAAGCCTAGCGAACAGGGGAATTTAAAAACTGCATCTCGAGGTAGAATTGAAAAAAAAACCATGTTCGGTCCTCTTAATTCATCGAAAAACGTGTTTTCATTACGCTTGTTTGGCTTGCTTAACTCCGGCTTAGAAATTTATTTAAGAAAGAGCTCTGCCTTCGAGTTCGACTATGAGCGGCTCGGAAGTCGAACTGGTGATTGAAAAAGGAAGTGCGTTCTCCAACGACCTGCGGCCATTCGCAAATGTTTTGAAATGCGTTATCCCAGTCGATGAAGTACAGTACAGTACAGTATTGTCTCAAAAAAAAAAAAGAAGACTTAAATTAGGACTTGAAGAAATGTAAAATTCATTCCTCCTGGATGATCCATGACTTCGGCTTGATTGTTGAAGATCGAATAATCGGAAGTTGCACTGTGCATTAATATTTTCCATAAAATTTTCGTTACAACGAAGCGTCCGACCTTGAAGAACCTTCGTCACTAGACGAAATTCAAGTACTAAAATATTCGTATATCGAACAGGGACCAAAAAAATTCGTTGTAAGCATTAAGTGGTTATAACGAGATTCTACTGTATTTACTCGTGTTGAGGTCGCACCATATTTTTGTGGAAAAAAATCGCTAATAAATACAAGTCAAAGTCGGTTTTCAAGATTATTTATGTGTGCCGAGAACCAGCTTTTTTATGTTCCGGGGGCTAAGGTGCACGCGATACCCACGCGTAGTAAATGTGGGTATGTACTAATTGTCGTCCGCATAAAAGTCGCGCGGTACGTATTGTTAGGCACGTGACCTTGCGAAAAAAATGTACAAAATTTAGATCCCCTTGAGTATTTCCAAACCACTTTATCGATTATTCTTTTTTAATTACTGTACGCGACGATCTTAAACCGTTGGGGGCATGTGGACGTCATGTGAACGAAAACGAGTCTTCGTTAAATAGACTCGTTTCCAATCCGCCAATGGAGGCGAACTGTTCGTTTTTTGTTGATTTTATTCAATCAATGAAACTTTCGTGTCAATTCTGAAGCTGGTCTATTTTTAAGGAGGATGAATTCAGGCCCAAGCAACTATTTATCGACGATTCTTCACTTTAAAACATCGAGTAAAGAATTCTCCAAATTTAAAACTTTGAAATCAAAGACTAGTCATACTACGGAACACAAATTATTTCTTTTTTGTCGCTGCGCGAGATATAATCGTTCAATATTAGTTCATGAAATTGCTCCAGAGAATGGATTAAAGTTATAAAATGTGGTTCATTGCTTTTTTTCTCACGAAACGAAAGCTCGATGGTCGCTTAGTACCAAACCAAGTCTTTCTGATGCCGAGGATAATTTTGACGCTTGGGACTTATCTCTTCTTTTTTTTCGTTGTTGTTCGGTATGGTTTTTATGTGTACACGCTCAGGAGCAGCTATTTATGTTTTCGTAAAATAATAAGTACATTACAGTAAATATTTTTGTGTTCGAAGTTTGGAGTTGTAAGTCGATAATAAATGCTTTATCGCAAGCTGCTCCCACTTCGCTGCAAAATTTCCTTATGCATGATGGAAAAAAGTACAGTACTGTACTTGAAGATGCCCTCCCTCATAAAGCGCCAGCCTTGGAAACTGCCAAAATTGTGCACTTTCCTCAAGGTTGAGTAGCCAAGAAAACCTGCAAACCTCAATAAGTTTCATTGGTTTTGTCTTTTTTACACCACCAACTTTCGAGTAGTGAAGTATTATAATTTCTGCTCGTGATCTTGCATTACAATACAAAGGTAAAAGTATAAAATCTTATATCATTAAAAACTTGTCCAATATAAATTTTAATTATGTTTTATTGAATGGAATCCCATGTTGAAAACGAGTCCCTCGTAATGCTAACAGTTTTAAAATTAGCTAAATTGCTGAAGTACATTTATTTTTACAATTTTTGGACGGAAGTGAATAAAAATTATATTTCAACACAATAATGGATGGAGTTACTGCATTTTTTAAGGAAAATGAATTACTGATGCTATTAAATGTGAAGTAATCAATTTGTATAAAATATAGTTGTCTGCCTTCAAAAAAACTTTCCGTTTCATCCATTTTATTTATGTTTAATGGCAAAGCAAATTATACAAATGTTGATACTGCAGTGAAGCAGCTTACATTTACATTGGGTTTTATTCTTCTTTGAAGGGGAAATTCTTCCAATCATAATTGCTGCAATATGTGACCCATCCATTGTTTCGAAATGGAAATCTCTGATAAATCGCCAAAAACCTCTACCTTTATTTTCAAGCTTGTCAATCAATTCTAATTCAATTTTTTCAGGCTTTTCTGGGGTAGGTAATGTCTTATTTATACTGCACGTTGAACCAAAATTCAGCAACAATGAAGTTCAATTCGTAATTGTAAAGATCAGAGGCTTTTCTTGAGCTCTTCTGCTCTCTTGAAGTCCTTTTAGCAGTTACGCTGCTTTTAAATTCATACAAAATTGTTCATGTGGCAGGAAAACCTCATTTCATCACAGTCAGCGAACATGACGTGAAGTATGCGTTTCTCGAGTCATTTGCTCCACCTGGTTGACGTTGGGTTAGGTTGTGAACGAGGTTTAGCATTGAAGCGAACCGAAGTGTGAAAACATAGTTCAATTTTTGTCACAACTTCGACCGGATGCGCGAAAGCATTGAAGTAGCGGGGCTTTCGATGAAAAAGTGGTACGCAATCGCGAAAAGCATTTTCGTGCGAAATGCATCATAGACTCATTCTATTTTTTTTTAATGAGTCTAAAATCCGAGTCGTGATAATTTTTGTACAGTAAAATCTCGTTACAACAAATACCGTTACAACAAATTTTTCAATACAACAAACTTTTTTTCAAGTCCCGGCAGAAAGCCTATAGACTACATGTTTAAAAAATCTCGTTATAACAAACTTGGGAATTCCGTTATAACAAACTTTTTTTACGCAATTTTTTTGGTTTTTTGTGGAAAAATTTGGAAAAATTACTTGAAATTTGCTTGTGTTATTCTCCATTGAAGCCTGAATCAAAAGAGGCCTCAATAGAGGCCCAAATGTTTAAAAATCTTCATGGGATCCACCCAGGAGAGAGAGTTTTTCCACCCTTCCATGAAATCCCTTCCCTGGAACGCAGCAAAAATTGCACGTAGAATTGTTTGGACCCCTGGAGGTTAATCCAAACATTCTGTTTCCCATGAACTTGCAGGAAGGGCAGTCAAATAAAAAAAAACTTCAATACAGTAGAATAACTGCCCCAACAGCAATGACTTTGGTGGAATATTTTTTTTTTAATTTAAAGGATCAAACCATGAACCAAGAAGTCCACAGAATCCATCCAAACACCCAACCCAGGAGCAGTTCTTCAACATCTTCTGAAGAATAAAAATAAAGATGCACACCTACAAGAGTAAAAACTTTACTTTTCATGTCCCATGCATTGTGAAAGAGGTTCCAGTACAACTTTGGACAGTGACTGCTCAACACAAATTTTGTGAACACAGGAATTTTTAACTTTTTAATTCTGGATACTGTGGAATGCTAAGAATTTAAAAAAAGGATTGCTGGTAAAATTAAAGATAAAAAATTTGGCCACATAAATTAATTTTAAATTGCTTGTGTTTCCCGCTTCAGTGCATTGTTTTCATTGCTTTTTTCTTTTCCTGTGTCTCTACACAGCAATGCATGGCAGTTCTATGTACAGGGTTACAAAAATCAGTCAAATTTCTCAAACAAAATGTTTGCCTTGCCTCTCTATTGTGCAAAAAGGTGTAAATTTTCTTCTAGAAAATGAACAATCATGAAAAGAAAAAATTCTAGCAAAAATATGCAATCATTTAGCTTGGATTCATGGTGCTGTCACCCTGCAATCATGGCAAAAATCCTTTCATATTGTTTTTCCAAATAATTTTTTGGCAGTCCACAGAATGGGGAATAAAAAACTGCAAAAAAGAAAATGCCAACAATAAACTCTTAATAAGAAGCTAAGCATTTTTACTGCAGTTGATGGCACCAAAAAAAATTGCATGGCAGTTCTATGTACAGGGTTACAAAAATCAGTCAAATTTCTCAAACAAAATGTTTGCCTTGCCTCTGTATTGTGCAAAACGGTGTAAATTTTCTTCTAGAAAATGAACAATCATGAAAAGAAAAAATTTAAGCAAAAATATGCAATCTTTTAGCTTGGATTCATGGTGCTGTCACCCTGCAGTCATGGCAAAAATCCTTTCATATTGTTTTTCAAAATAATTTTTTGGCAGTCCACAGAATGGGGAATGAAAAACTGCAAAAAAGAAAATGCCAACAATAAACTCTTAATAAGAAGCTAAGCATTTTTACTGCAGTTCATGGAACCAAAAAAAAGAAGGTGGTGGCAAGTGAATTTGGAATTATGCCTGCAACTTTCTCAACAATTTTTAAAAATTTGTCAAAAATTAAATTGTGTGACTCAAAATGATTTTTTGGCAGTCCACAGAATGGGGAATGAAAAACTGCAAAAAAGAAAATGCCAACAATAAACTCTTAATAAGAAGCTAAGCATTTTTACTGCAGTTGATGGCACAAAAAAAAGAAGGTGGTGGCAAGTGAATTTGGAATTATGCCTGCAACTTTCTCAACAATTTTTAAAATTTTGTCAAAAATTAAATTGTGTGACTTTAACATGGGACCTCCTTGCAAGCAAATGTGGACTGCTCCTCATGCAGACCTGGACAAGGCTTTTGTTGCATGGTTTCAAGAAGTGCCATCTAGCAACATTCCTATAAATTGACCCTTAATTCAAGAGAAAGCCAAGTAGTTGGCCCTTTCATTTGACCACAAATCATTTCTAGCTAGTGTTGAGTGGCTTAATTGTTTCTGTGATTGATTTTGAATATCAACTAAGATTATCTGTGGGGAAGAGTCACCAGTTCTCACCACAAAAGTGAATGAGTGGCAGATCAGTGAGATAAAAAATTATTGCATCTTGTCACAGCCCTGACAGCATTTTCAATGCAGATGGAATGGACATATTTTTTAAATTGTTACCAAATTGCACATTGGCTGTTAGAAATGATCCTTGTCATGGTAGCAGAAAATCAAAGCAGAGACTGACAAGCCTCTCCTGTTGCAATGCTTCAGGGATAGATAATTTCAGTCCACTCATCATTGGAAAATAAGCAAAACCACCTTGTTTCAATAATGTACAAGTTTGACTTGATGAACACTTCATTTTTTGTTAAATTGCAGAAGCAGGTCAACAAGGACATTCAAATTAAAAAAGGAACATCTTGCTTGTTTGGGACAATTGCTCTGTCCACACTATTCTTCCTTGCCAAGATAATGTGCAAGTTGAGTATCTGCCACCAAACTGCACTGCATTTTTTCAGCCTCTGGACCTGGACATAATACAAACTGTGAAAGTTAAATACTGTACAGGAAAAATATTTTAAAGACAATTCTTGTAAACATGTGATAAAAAGGATACTGACATTGACATCAAGCAATCAATTGAAATGATTGCTTGTGTCTGGTCAATTAAATTTTTTCCTCATGCTCTGACATTGCAAGGGATGAAAAATATGATCTACTGAAAAAAAAACCTGAGGATGCATTGCCAGCAACAGTGAATAAGAATTTTGTTCAGAAGAAAATCACTGATTTTTTCAATCAATCATTTGAGTTCTTAAACTTGAAGACAAGCCTGATTCAGAATATATGCAGATCTGAGCTGAAAAAAAAATTTCCAGTCATTTTTTTGATAATCTCATTACAACAAATTATCCGTTATAACAAACTTTTTCTGTGGTCCCCAAAAGTTTGTTGTAACGAGATTTTACTGTACTCGAGTAAATACGGCGGTACTCGAAAATTTTTTTTTTCCTTTCATCAGCTTTTCTGTGCTGCAGGAAAGTTGGCAATGTAATCTGAATATTTTCTTGTACAAAATCTCTGTGCATGTTACGGGCTCTGTGCTGTGCCGGGGCGTGGACACAAACAGCACAGCGAGGGCAAAGGGGGCGCTGCATGCTCGTCTTCCGCCTACTCCATGTCCATGCAAGTGGACAGCCGACTGACCATGGAAGAGTTCCAGACGCAAAGGGACCAGCAGGCGGCCCTGTTATGCAGATCTGAGCTGAAAAAAATTTTCCAGTCATTTTTTTGATAATCTCGTTACAACAAATTATCCGTTATAACAAACTTTTTCTGTGGTCCCCAAAAGTTTGTTGTAACGAGATTTTACTGTATTGGGATTTCTATCAAGCCCTTCCTTTCTGGAACAAAAGGAATTGTCATCAAGTGGGATTTGTGGGGAATTTCCGAGAAATAAAAAAGGGAAGAGGTGAACCCAGGGATTGATTCATGTGGTTCTCGTGCCTCGATCATGCCCTTTTTTATCCTTGCGTTCCCTTTTTGTGTCCGTGTGTCTTCGCCTGGTTTTATTTTACGCTTGCGATTCGGTTCACCAAGCCCGGGAAGCTTTTTCTACCTCACTGAAAAGTTTACGATCGTTGGTTCGGAAATGGGCGAGGTTTTTTAGTGAGTGGGAAAGTACGTCGTCGGCAAACTACGCCGAAGATTCTGCCGCCCAGCAACCCGTGAGCTGGAGAGATGATGTGATTAGCGCGCTACTGAAACCGAAAAACCCGTGGATATTTACGAATCTTGAACACACGAAATTGAAATTTTGGTTGAAGGACGATGGGACGGAGTAGAAGAAAAAGGGCAAAGTCCTGTATTTATAATCTGAGCTGCATCAAATGTTTTGACGCCTGGTGATGGAACTTATAGTTTAATTTCCCTTTTCAGAGTAAAACCTAGGATGCACTTCTGTGATACAGTACAGTACTGTATTCGAACGGAACAGAGAGATGATAATACAGGAAAATCTCGTAACAGCGAAGACATTGGGACCAGTATGATAGATTCTTTGATATTTGTTCTAAGCCAACTCAAATAACTTTGCAGCTAATGGGCAATTGTATTTGTAATCATTGGAATTCGTGGTAATCGATTATTAGTTACAATGAGATTATACTGTACTGTATTCCTAACCCCCTCCTCCCCACACGCGTACACACGCTCTAATTCAAAGTGGCCAAACATTATTCCTTTAACTGTAAATAAATTTGTGAGGGTTGCCAAAACAATGCCTGGCTTTTTCATGCTCCCGCCTTTTTTTAAGCATGATTTTCTTTATTGTAAGTTCAAAATCCTCCAAAATTTGCATATTTTTTTGGCGTTTTAGCGCATGGATCGTAGTGTGAGATTTCGGTGAGATTGACTGGACAATTTTGCATGACTTGAAAATTCTCACAATTATTTCAAAAAGGTGTGAGGTAATTACGACTGACATGAACGAATGATTCTTGGCTGTATTTTCTATTTTTTACTTGAGAATTGTCAAAATGAATTATGTCTTTGACGTATTGCCTTTCGCATCATTTCCTGACGCCGTGATCAGTTTTAAATGTACGGGTTCGTTCCCGGGGATGTGCATTGATGGATGAGTTTCAATTCTAATTTCTTGGAAGATTCGTTGCACTTGTCTCTTGCCTCGTTTCTGTCGTGACCGCTTTGAAACAGACCACCGTGTCGTTGGCATCAGTGGAACAAAAGGTTCATAACTCACCGCGCATATTTTTCAACCGGATGCAGGCGTTCCGTGGAAACCGGAGCAGATTTTTCACAAAGATTCTGCATGCGATCGCATAGGATGTCCTTGATACTTCGCGTGAGTTCATAAAAAATGGAAAAGGAAAAAATTGCCATTGTTGGGGCATTCTGCCATAATCGACGGACCATCTCACCACCATCTTGGTTTTTGTTGAACTCGAGTCTTTCGCTGTGCGTCACGATCAGGTGATGCTCTTTTATTGTACTTTTTACGATTAATTGCTCTTTTTATATTCGTGCGTTTGAATGATTCAGAAACCCGGCGCTTTGTTGGGCCTCGTTCATCGCTGGACACCCGGTCTTTCTTTTTTTTTCAACTTTTTTCCGCAGTCCTTTTTAACGACTTTCGATGCAGTACTTGCCATGAATGCCTCGTTGCCGCAGGATGCTTGTACCAGGCCTGGCGAAGTGAGTAACGCGAAATTGGCCTGGTGACCCAGAAGGGTATTACTCAATGTCGAGAATCATCCTTGAATCCTGCAAATTAATGTTGCGCCGGGATGGGTTTCGTTATTATGTTGTCGGGCGAGAATTAGTGTGAGAAGACGGTCGAGATGAAAATACAGTTGCGGCCTCTTGTTTTCGTCTCTCGGCTCTGGTATGACGGGGAAAAAATATATATGCGGGGATCTTGAAAACCTTTCGACACGCCGAAGTATTTTTTTATATTTTTCCCCCTTTTTAAGATTGACTCTGTTGAACCGCGAAGCCGGGGAAAATAACTGACGGGAATAGAACGAAATCATGAAATTCCTATTGACGAAGACGTTAATCTCTTGGTTCTTCCATTTGCTGCGCGCCATCCGCAGCCAACGGGTTACCCGCGGAAATTATGCATTCGTTCCTTCCCGGAAGGTTTTTCCTTCTTGTTTTGTTTTTTGAACATTATGGCTTGAGTCCTCGAGTCAGATGTGGAGAAGAAAAAAATAAACAGCTACTGCATATCATTAATTCTCCACGGCATCCGAAAAATGAGACGGAAGAAGCTGCAGTTCTACTTGAAACTTCTGCAGAAAATATGATACTGTAGCTCTCACCGAAGTATCTGGAAAGTCAGAACAGCGATTACCACCACAGCATGTGTCTGAAAAGATGAAGAGAGTAAGTTGAAATGAAATGGAGAAATAGAAGCGCTTCTGAGAGAATACGGTATGCTGAAGTCTACTGGAGGTAATGCGCTAAATGTTGTATGCATCGTAATGTGTAGGGCGGATGATACTGAAGTTTTGATGCCGTCAATGGAAATGGTCGCAATTTAGTGCATAAATCTACTGTCCTTCGTTGCGATGAAAAATATTTTTTCCAGTCTGGTTGAAACAGGGATCAGGAAGAGAGCTTAAGGTGTGACCCTGTGTTCACCATTGAAGGCGTGCACAATACAGTTGAACCGGGATAACCTACCTAAAACGAATGCCCTCTTAGGAGAAAATTTTCAAGTCCCCGTGTGAATTCACTGAGAAACAGTGCATTAAAAGCCTCTTCGAATCAAAGGCTTTCCCTCTCAAACCTGCTTAAAACTAGAATTTTCTGGGGCCTTCTGGCTATTATTTTGTTGACAACTTTATGTGTTTTGAAAGGAAATGAAAGACTATTTTGCCAAATGAAACCGTGCCTCCCAAGTTCAGCAGCCTGTTTTTTTTATTTAAAAAATATTAGGGTCCAGAAAGTTACCAGTTACAATTTCCTGTAATTTTTCTTTCTTTCCCCAACAACAATTTTCCATTTTTTTCCACCAATTCTCCAACCAAAATGCTATTCTTCTCCAACTCAAAACCTCCTTAACTCGAATTAATTTGCTGGTCTCTCGAGATTCCACTTGAAGAGGTTTGACCTTAATTTTGATTCCTGATTCAAGAACACACAACAATTGAAAATTGAGTTAGAAAATTAAGTCGTTGAAAATTAAGTTTCAAGAAGTCCTCAATCAAAAGCTTTACTTTTCTTGTAATTTGTAGAAATCTGTTCCTTTTTTTTGGATCATTAGTCGTATTGGTGGTCATTTGATGCGTCTAATGTGACTAAACGTGATTCATCATCGCCTGACATGAAGAAACTTGTTTCGCAGTTTTGCTACGCGCATTTCTAAGCCAAGGCTCGTCTCCTGGAAAATTAATTTAATGTTCAGAATGAAGATTTTGCAAGTCATTATGCTTTGTATTGCGGGGAAATACGGTAATGTCGAGGTGATCGTGAGGACTTATTACCCTGCAATGCAAAGACCGGTGGTCGAATCGAGTGCTGTTTCGCGCAGCCTTGAATGAACGCGGTCGATATGCAGTACAGTATGTAAGGTTCTTTTCATTCCCCCCGCTTCTTCTTTTCCCCTTATTCCGATCTCGCGGCGTGTGCCGCCACGTTTCGGTTCTGTTCCGGTAGCGTCACACCGCGAGTCTTCTCGCTGTAGTTCGTTTCGGTACTTCGTCCCTGTCCATCGGCTTTGCACAAGCGTACCTTTCGCAGCCAAGAAGAAGTGGGGGAAAACAAGAAAAAATCTCTGTTTGACTGGGACGGCAATTTTAACTTCGGCCTTCCTACCCGCGTGCCCTCGGGCGCGGAGAGACGCAGGCAAGTACTGCGATTTTTACTGCCGCGAGTCGCTGCGAGCGTTTTTCTGTTCCTGGAACCACGGGTCGTAACCCGGCTCTGACTGCGACTTCGCCTTCCTCAACGCACTTTTCGCGAACCACAGGTTTCATTTTTGTATGTTAGGAATCCCAGCGGGGTGGATAGGCAAAATTGCCTCCCTTGTCTTTTTTTTCTCTTCCTTTTTTCTACTTTTTTTTTCTTGGGTGCGCTGAGTTTTTATGCTGCTTCCTCACCAGTCATGAGTTGTGAAGTGTGTAAGCTCAAGGATCCTTTCTAGCGACGATTTGTTTAGATTGCGAACACCTGGGAATTTTGAAATGTACAATACAGTACCTTGTTTACTACGTCTGCTCCTTTCTTTTCCTTCATCAGCTCGTGCTACTGATGTTTTTCTCTCTTCATGCGAATCATTGTGCCACTGTTGTAGAAATATTCATGCTGCAACGGTTGTTGCTCATATTTGTTGTTCGATGATGTACATTATGATGAAGCACTCAAGAATTATGTAATCATATGGTGAACCCCCGTGTGGAGGCTTTTATTTCACGAAACCCTGTTCGAATTTAGTCATGAATTGTAGGCTCCTGGAATATCAGAACATTTGGGAAATAAGTGGGTGCGTGGACAGTCGCCTATGAATGAAATTTGAATTGTTCGCTTGAAAAATCTATGGGGGATGATTATATTTGAGCAAATGTGGTATTCAACTCTTGTCAAGTTCGTTTGAGTGGCAACTGGGATGTTTTTTTGAGAAATACTAAGAGTTTACAGTTTGCTATAGTGTGTATTGCTTTGAGCTGTCTGCGAATTTTGT